TCAGTAACACGTCAACAGTTACCGTCACATCAGTAACACATCAACAGTTACCGTCACATCAGTAACACGTCAACAGTTACCGTCACATCAGTAACGTATGCTTTTCACCCGACATTCACGAAGGAAAAAAGAGAAAATAAGATTGTGGCCGCCGTCCACCAAAGAGCAGCGGCCAATGGACTTACCGTCCGCCAGGGCGGTGGACGCCGCCGCGGCGCAGTGGCGGCCCGACGGGTCCACGGCGACGATCCCGGCGGCGTTGGTGGCGACGAGGACCTCAGAGCGGCGGGCGTCGTACGTCAGGCCTCCCGCCAGGTCCGTCGGGGTCGGGCAGGCGGAGCTGTGGGGTTATTGACGTAACAACATGGTGTAAATAACGTTATGTGACGTTAGGGTAACGCGAAAATAACGTCACGCAACGCCACTTCAACGCGCAAAAAAGTCACCTACTCCCTAGCACCGTGGTACGTAGGTGATGTGGGCGCGCTACCATGCAAGAGGCGCATTGTGGTCTCGGACCAATCCTCAGACACCCTCTTCCCCAAGGAATCGAACAATAAATGCTTCTATCCTATACCTACTCTAATTTGGATCCTCTTGATTCTAATTAACATAAGAAGATAAATCTTCGGCTCTGAACACTCGCTTCGAGTTCCCTAACGCCAGAGCCAAAGTTTCCAGAACAGCCAATTAACATAAGAAGATAAATTTTCGGCTCTGAACACTTGCTTCGAGTTCCCTAAAGCCAAAGCCACAGTTCCCAGAACTGCCGGCACCCTGCTTTGGTTGATGTTGTTGTTGTAATTGTCCATCCTGGTAGTGACGACTAGGGAGGGGGGTGATAGGTCATTTTTTCCTGGCACTTGGTGCCACTGGTAGTTCCACGACCATCACTGGCCCTGGCTGATAACCACTGGAGCTTCTACAAGGGGACGTCGCAGCCACCAAGAAGACTCATTCGAATCTCCAGCCTCAATCTTGATCCCGCTCACCCCGCCTTGAGCTGGTCGCACTAGTTCTCTAAATTGAGATAGACATCTTTTCTCTGCCTGGTAAGTTCTAAGCTGCATGTTAGGACTCTCCAAAATCCTCATTCTCCTTTCTCTCTAGCCTCAACTCCTTCCTCCTCCTTGGGTAAAGACATTTTAAGTCCACATTCCAGTCCTATATTGGCCAACTCAATGACCCACGCCTGACGTAGAGCATCTTGCAAGCCGGCTCATACAATTTAAATATTTAAATTTTAAACTGACCTATCCAACGGGAATTGTCTTTCTGCGCCCCCTGAGAACCCCGAGAACAACAGAATCCTGAGCTGAGGTCTGTAGGATTCTGATACTGGTAGGATTCTGAGGCTGGTAGGATTCTGATGCTGGTAGGATTCTGAGGCTGGTAGGATTCCGAGGCTGGTAGGATTACGAGGCTGGTAGGATTCCGAGGCTGGTAGGATTCTGAGGCTGGTAGGATTAGTGCACTTATGTGTGGTTTCTGTATAAACTTTCAGAGATATACTCGACGCATTAACATCAGTTGAAGCAACAATTTCACGGTGTGCAAAGAAACAGAGGTCATGCAAATTTAAATGTTTCAGAGGTCTATTGCCTTCCTCAGTAGACGCTAATCTCAGGACGGCTCAGTATAAGTTTCAACCTTGAGGAACGGTGAGCTTCAAGAAAACGAGGAGGTTCGATAATTTTATAACTAGTTCAATTCATTGGATGTAATGCTGAAGTAACAACGTTTCTATTATCGATTAAATCTGCACAATAAAAATTGTTAAATGAAAACAAACATGAAGCACTCACTTGGTTATATTAAATAGATGTCTGATACAATAATGAAATAAATCGGTATACAAGACCACACTACTGGCTATTTATTAACTAAGGGTAATTAACAGGAATCTCAGAGCGACCAAACCTCAAACGCTGGCCGAAGTTTGACGGCCTGTTGTTCCCGCATTCGGCATCTACTACACTCGCAGTTTTTGATAAAAAAGTAAATGAAATATATTATCTCAAAGGTAGTAAACGGTCGCTTCATGTGAAGAATTTCTAGTAGTTCACCTCAGCAGCTCACAACCAGCGAAAGAAAAGATTGAATTCGACTATGAAAGGCAATTCATCGAATAACTAAACATCTTGGTCATGCATTTTTAAATGAATATCTTTTTCTTCGCTTCCAAATTGGCTAGCCGGTAAAAAACAATACTGCACAATACATTTTCCTTTCAGAAACAATTCATCTTGCTATGGTCAGAAATTCAGATTAATATTCTGAATTAAAATAACGTTCATCAATCATTTTTCTAGTTAAGGTATAAATGAAGTGTTAATTACAAAATAATACTCAGATTTTGTCCCTGGTAGTCAAAAATATGAAAAAATATAACTCAGTACTCACTGCAGTGAGTGACAGAGAGCGCATTTTCTCGTCGACGAAAACTTGAGGTCACGGACGGACGGACAGACGGACGGACAGACAGACGGACATGGTGAGCACAATAGTGCATTTTTTCCATAAATGAGAAAATGCGCTAAAAAGGGATAGCGAGTGATCTCATCCCGCATTTCTTATAGCTATCATCTATATTATTGGTCCGACAAAATTGTTTGAATATCACCCGTGAAAAATGTATGCAGTAGAAGAGAGTTAAACTGTCTTTGTTTTCTTCTTATTTCAAAATATCCAGCAGTTGCAAGTCCCATCACACCTGGCAGTACCTCAGCCGTGCTAATGTTCAGGGGCCATACATTCAAAAAAAGTTAAGAGATCGTAAGTTCATCTGCCAATCATCGACGGTATTTGAAGCAAAATCCACAAAGCATAGACAAGAAAATAGAGCGTAAGTACTTACGTTCACTTAGCGAGTTTTGAAAGTATGGCCCCATAAGCTGCACGGGTCATCACAACCTGCACTTAGTGTCACTGTCTTCCCCGCAACGACTGCCGCTAATCGAAAGCTGCCGAAAATCTAGGATAGGATCTTCATGGACAGAAGAAAGAAATGAACTAGGAGAATCAAATAAGTACGAACAAGATAAATTATTGGTTTAGAAAAATGCGGTATATACGTATAGCATCTATATGAACTTCAACAACACACGCATAAAATTTCTCAATTAAAATATGAATTTACCATAAGCATATAATTTATTATTGATAACTAAACATTAGCAGTGCATGAAACTAATAACTAACCATTAGCACTGCATGAAACTGATAACTAAACATTAGCAGGATTTTGATTATAATTTTAATTTCAAATATATGTTAACGCTGTTTTATGTAAATGAATTTTATGAACTTCTAGAAATTGTTCTTAATAACTAAATAAACTTTTCATTGTTTACTTTGTAATGACAGTGTAATTCATGTCTACGTTGGTTGTTCAAAAACATGGAATATCTATATTAGTAACATACGAATTAATTGATGTATTCGAAAAATTTTGAAGTTCAGATCATATAATCAAGAACTTAAAGTTACAAATGAAACTAACCAGCATTTGGTTGTTAAATACAAGTAGCAATAACCGCAGGCTAAACCACGGTACTGCATTTGACTAGAAAACGCACCAAGAGCTATAAGTTCCATCCAAACATTTAATCCTTATTTTTTCACTAGATTATGCCACCCCTATGCTCGGATATATGGTTTTTGTAATTGTCGAATGATGAAAATATAATTGTTATCGATTATTCGTCTGTCCCTTCAAGGTAATCATTCTGAAAAAGTCGGCATTTTTCAGGTTGCCGACTTTTTTATGGCATAAGAGACAAAATTTCAGGGAATGGTAAAAATAAAATGGTGGCGTGAAAAACGGTCTATAAGCTATAGTTGATGTCATGGAAACTTCACCAGGTTTTCGGCAAAAAATTACTCCTTCACTCGGAGTAGTTCTCGCACTCTAGTTCAAAGAAACATTCACGACTTTACAGAAGACGACGGAACTGTCGAACACTGCGTCCAATTACATGATTATATCCTTTGTGTCTTGCTATCGACATCGCTCCTTGAACAAAAGACGAATATCCATCGCATTGAGTGGACTTCAGCTACTTCATTTGTTACTTAATGAGAGAACGTCGAGCTTCCAGGGAATGACTGGAATTGTCGTTATGCCCAGTGATCCCGGGAGCTCACAGTTATATATTGCAAATTTTAAACATTGAAAAGAACAAAAATATTAATATTCCAATTAATCTACTTTTAAATCTCGTGATTCTGCCGCTTACATGTGAATTTCAATTTTACAGAGCCAATTTAAATGCATTTGTATTTCAAACCCTGCGTAATAGGTACAATGATAACGTCATCGCCCTCACAAATTTGAAAAAATCTGCATTTAAAATACATCTTTATACGTTATGTGGTAGAAATATTCACCAGTATCTACAATTTTTAAGTCTCATTTCAGATTCAGGTGAAACATCATGAAGAAATTTCTACATTAATTTCCCTGCGTTAATTTCCTTAGTGTCCATATCAGTGATTTTGAATCTAAAAAAATTTTTTTCCGGCGCGATGGTGATGTGTGTGATGGTGCCGGAGGAGCTAAAGCTCACCAGCCGCTCCCGGACGCCGAAGGTAAGGTCGGCCGACCAAAGCGCGACCATGTTTGAGGGAGGCGTTGTGGTTGTTCTGGGAGGCGCCCCTGAGGTGTTGTGGCTGAGGGGTTGTGGGAGGGGGTGGCGCCATGGCTGCAGCCACACAAGCTTCTCAGCCACGTGGTCCACAGCCACAGCCAGCGCTGGCTCAGCCAACGACGCCACCTGCAACGCCATACGCCACAATGTCACGAAAAAAAGTTCGAGTAGCGGAAAGTAAACAATAAGATCCGTTAAATGTAATTATGTAAAGAACGAAAAAATCATCTTGTGGGCGGAAGGATTTAAACAAACGAGCGATGCCATGCTTGCTTATTGACATACAGTGCCACTCATTTAAAATTAAATGGTATGACTCACCACCCTCCACCACTCATCAATAACATGACTCACCGCCCAGGTGCGGTCACCACTAAGCATGACTCAACCCCACGTACCACTCGCCACAAAGCATGATTCAACCACACGCACCACTCACCACTAAGCACGACTCACCACCCAGGTGCGGTCACCACTCACCACTAAGCATGACTCACCACCAAGCATGACTCACCACCAAGCATGACTCACCACCAAGCATGACTCACCACCAAGCATGACTCACCACCCAGGTGCGGTTGGTGAGCAGGTCGACAGCGTGCAGGCGGTTGGTTGTGTCCTGCAGGAAGGCGGTGTGGTTGCCCAGCATCGCCCCTACACCGCCCCCTGCCACCTGCCACCCCCAGCCCCCCAGCTGGCGCTGCGTCTGCAAGTCCGCATCCACCAGCACCACCTGAGGGCATCATCACCATCAGTCATCATAATCATCATCCAAGAGCGTCCATCATTTGTTAATATCAGTGATTCGTAATGGTTACACAATTATTGAAGCCCGGATGCAGTGGCACCTTCTACATTTCATAATTTGCAGCACTAGCGTCAAGTGACCTATAGTTCGTTGTTAGAATGTCTGTTTTAAATATTCTGGTCAGTATAGCGCCCGAAATAGTATTCTTCGTTTACCTTATCGGACAAGCAAGCCTACAACTGTCAGCGAGACTTAGACAAACATCCCGGCTGTGCTACGTTAGGCTGTAAGCAGCCAGCCCGGCTGTGCTAAGCAAGGCTGTAAGCAGCCAGCCTGGCTGTGCTACGTAAGGCTGTAAGCAGCCAGCCCGGCTGTGCTAAGCAAGGCTGTAAGCAGCCAGCCTGGCTGTGCTAAGTAAGGCTGTAAGCAGCCAGCCCGGCTGTGCTAAGTAAGGCTGTAAGCAGCCAGCCTGGCTGTGCTAAGTAAGGCTGTAAGCAGCCAGTCCGGCTGTGCTAAGCAAGGCTGTAAGCAGCCAGCCCGGCTGTGCTAAGTAAAGCTGTAAGCAGTCAACCTGTCTTTTATTTCAAGGTGCGTACTGAAAGTAGCGAGACATACGGCAGGCTTGGATGGTTCCTATATGGATTTCTTCACTATTTTTGAATTTTTCACAACCGTCTGAACTTTTCCATGCTTGTCCAGCTATTTATTTACAAACGATGGTATTGAAAGAGTTTTGATGAAGGAAAATTTCGAGAAACTTTATAAATATTAATGTTCATGAATGATGCGACTTCTTCATTCCTTAAGAATGTCAATGGGTTATACTTTTTATTCTCCCCGGATTCGTAAACCCAGGATTTCTCGATCAGCCTCCTTCTTCTAGATATTTGTCACTTCATACTAGTTACTAGTACTAGTAGTAGTAGTAACTAGTAGTACTAGTTTTAATCAAGCTCCAGTAACGTTTAGTTTTGTATCCTTGCTATATTGAGTGCCTATTCCGATGCGCGCGGGACTTTGTCGGGCTCTACTGAAAAGTTATCTTATTGTCACTGCAAACCTATCTCCTCCTACAGTTTTCGGGCTACAGCGATGAGACATATACCATTCGATTCGTAAAGACCATACCTATCGAGTAACGAAGCCCTTTTTTAGATTAGTGCATAGTTTGGATTGAAAATGGGGGGAGAGGGGAAATCAGAAGAAAATGAGAAGAAAACGGAAAATGCGTGTAAAAAATGAAGTTTCAGAAAGATCCGTTAGTAAATGTGGAAGTTTTTCTGGAGGGTATACCTCCCTCAAGGGATAATTAAACTAATCTATGTCGGCCGACTGTTCTTTTGGAAATCCGACCGTCTGAGTACACTTTACGTTATCAATCGACATTAAAACCGCTAAAATGGGCTGACCAATAATCAAGAAATGGCCTAATTAATTATTAAGAAGAAAATGGTTACCTGCGTTGATGAAGCGATGAGGAGGCATGGAGCGGGCTGGACGAGCGACGTGTTCACCACCACCTCTTCGCTCGGACGACCGCAGCCGACTGACGTCGCGGCGGTCACCTAAGCAAGAACATTGTTAACTAAATACGCGGTTGCAACGTCAAGCATAATCCATGGTTAGTTCTCTAACTAAAGTTGTGCTTGATATTCACTAGCCAATTCAAACACACATTTAACAAAGAACCCTCGACCAAACTCTGTGTATTGGAGTTTCGAAGCACTACAGCGAAAATGTGTATATTTTCATTGAAGACGTGGGTTCTACGTGGGGAAGAACCCACGGGGAAGACGTGGGGGAAGACGTGGGTTCTACGTGTCTGGCTTGTGACGTCACTCACTGAGAAATAGAAGCTGGGCTGCGGCAGGTGCAGATGCAGCTGCAGCTGCGTGCCTGGTAGGGTAAGCTGCGTGCAGTTGTCAGCTGCAACACAGAGTTGCGTGTCAGCACCAGCTGCAGGTGCATCACACAGATGCACATGGTACAGCTGTATAACGCCGTTACTCTGCAGGGGCGGCAGCCAACGCAACTCCAACTCCCCCTGGGGGTGAGGTGAGGGTAGGGGAGGATAAGGGGTTTATGGGGGCAACCTTCAATTTCCCCCCATTTATGTTTATAAGTCTGTTATGTATAAATATAAGTTATGTCATTGTCAAAATAATGAAGATGATATTGCTAATTAAGTCATATGAGTCTCGTCTTACCTGGGGGCTGACGTAGTAGCGGAGGGAGCGGGGGGGCTCGGGCACAGATGGGGGGGAGTGCAGCGACACCTCCGTGGGGGCGCTTACCCCCCACCTGCGGGGGGCACAGAAGGTAGAGGTGATCATCAGAATTCCAACGGTTATTTGTTAAGTAGTCACCATCATTAAATACCTAATGGTTTACTGGGAAGTGGTTCTATAAAGGGCCGATTGCCGGCTCTGATAGCCAGCTCAACTTAACTAGGCGATTGCCGGCTAGTTAAGTTGATCCGGTCGATTGCCGGCTCAACTTAACTAGATATTTCGCTAGCTAACTGCTTAGTGGTCAGAAGCTATATAGTTGTGATCGCTAATTGATTCGTTAGTCATGTCAGGCCGCGATATTATATAAGCGCTACATTACTGATTTATTACATTACTGATTACATTATTACCTTAGGACAGGTGTTCGTGCGTGAAAGATAAGTAAGACACCATCAGTCTAGAGAACCCATCTTGATACGGGTGGTAATACATGAGAGATACGGAACAGGTATAGGCTAAGATGTCGTAACTGGAACGAATGTTACATAGCGACATGCTAGTTAGTAAATGGTGCCCTTACTAAGGTTCACAGCCCTTTTATATAATCACGGCTTCCGCCCACTACTGAGGTCTCGATCGCGTGATGTGTCACGTGATGTTGTCCAGACGCTGACTCAGGTCTAGTATTTTTCCATCAATCTCTTCCACGTCTAGTGAATATTGCATATTACTTACCGATTATCTAATCTTAGGATATAATAATAATGAATACAATGAGACGACACCGGACGTTCATACTTCTTAGTCAGTCAGCACTACGTTGAGAGATATGAGCCGTTGGTTCGAGCCCCAATAAGCTCCAAACATTCTACGGTGTCGTTTCGTGGGCGGGCGTTTGTATTACGTCAAATTAAGGCTTGGCGGTGGGTAGTGCCCAAAATTAGGTAGCTTAAGGAACTAGTTATGATCGGGTCTAGTAGAGGAGGGCAAACTACTAATTAAGCTCAGGTTCAGAAGTAGGTGCCAGCCACTAGTAAGTTAGTAGTTGATGCGAACCACTTACTACTACAGCTAAGCTCAGGTTCAGAAGTAGGTGCCAGCTACTAGTAAGTTAGTAGTTGCGAACCACTCACTACTACTAATTAAGGCTTGTAGTCAAAATGCAGCGAAGTTTGAGAGCGAGGTTTTCGCGACCATCGTGTAAAATCCTTGATCTGCCCAAAGCTCGGCCAGTCGCTACCCTCGAGCTTGTACTCTTTGTAATATGATATCCTAGCCAGACCCTTCTGCGCGGTAACTGGTCGCTTTCAGGCGGCCGAGGAATGGCCAACGGTCGGCTATAACTAATTGGATAGGCCGACCACTGGCCACGTAATATTCTTCGCCCCCTCATTGACTTCGCCTTTACCATGCCACCCGTTGTGAACTGACAGTTGAGTAATTTACGACGTCTCTTTCCCCTCAAACATTGCACAACGTCTCCATTTGAGCAGCTAGTATGCGGGATTTTCCCTCCGCGTATCAGCAGACTCGATTTTACTGGTCGACGCTTATAAATAAATAGCTGGGTAAGTATGGAAAAATCCATATCGCCATCTCATTTGCGAGTGGAGTAAAGTCTATCCTTATTAGTGAAGAAACGCTTAGGGAAGAGCCGAGCCTGTTCGAAGCCCCTCGGCTTTCAATCAGGGCCTTAAGCTAAGGTCCAGAAGTAGGTGCCAGCTACTAGTAAGGTAGTAGTTGCGAACCACAATTACTACTACAGCTAAGCTAAGGTCCAGAAGTAGGTGCCACCTACTAGCAAGTTAGTAGTTGTGAACCACTCACGCGGTGACGCTGGTGACGGTGAGGGTGAAGGGGAGGTGGGGCTGAGCGGGACGCCAGGGCAGCGACACCCGCGCCTGGGGGGACGACGTGACTAGCCGCTCCCTCACCCCCTGCTGGGGTAGTGGGGAGGTGGGAATGTTTAAACAAATTTATATAAAATAAATGATAAGGTAGCGTGCAGATAAATTTGCCAATTGATGACGTCACGGCAACTGCCATGCCTTTACTCTGATCGGTGAAAAGACTGTTGTTATATCTCGGAGCTGCATAAAACACCGTTTACTTACCATTGCTGTCGTGTAGTGCTACCGTGTTCCTAATGCACAAACTTTAATATACGACGGAGTAATAGTATTTAATAGTACGACCGAGTAATAGTATTTAATAGTACGACCGAGTTCTTAATACACAAACTTCGTAACACGTTAGTTGTTACCAGTAAAAGATATTGGAGGTGCATGCATGCCTCTAGATCAAATTGTAGGTTGATGAATCAGGGCTACCCAGGTCTGATAAATGGGGTTTAGTTCTTTTTAAGCGGATTATGATTACTTTCAAGTGAATTTTTATTTATTTTAAGCTGATTATGTTTCCTTATAAGCGGGTTGTGATTTACTAAGAGATGATTATGCTTCCTTTTAGGTTGGTTGTAGCTCCTTATGACTTGCTTTTGCTTTTATGCAAAGGATTTATGGTTCTCATTCAAGAAGTTTGGTTCATTATAAGGAGGTTATAACTCCTTCAATGATTTTTCCTCCTTCCTCATTAGGTTATAGTTTATTTTAAGCGAGTTATGGTTCGGTAATTGGTCTAATGTTGGTTGCTCCTATAAGAAGCTTAACTATTTACAATATCAGCAATGCTGGTCAATTTTGAGCAACGAATATTTTCTAATTAAATGTAAATATATTTACGTTAATTGTGACGTGAGCGACGACGTCGTAGGTGACGTTGACATCTACGTTGTTGACAGGCTGCCACGTCACCACAAAGTCTTGCCAGTTGCCCTCACACGTCACAGACGATGCGTTGACAGACGCTGGTAGCACTGACAGTAATGGATCTGATGGCACGGCAACAAATGGTTGCCAAAAATAATAATGAGTGGCAACAAAATTCTTGAAAATCCAGAAAATAACATTTGATATTCCTATGAAGATATAGAATGTGACTGTCAACATTTATCTATAATATAAGGTTCACTTTAATTTCATTGATACGAATGAAGCGAGATCTAGAAAGACACACGAGGAAGAAGTGGGTTAAGATATCTCTCTTTGGGAAGTCAACGGCTTTTTCAAAAAACGAGCGCATTATTTGACTAACTTGTCGCTCCACGAGTCAAGCTGACTCACCTACTGGGTTCATTCTTTAATTTAATAGCGGTTTCAGCGTTTATTAGGCCGTAGGCCTGTCGCCGATTCTTAACATTGCAGAAAATCCACTGTTTGTTGCGGGCTCGAACTCGTAACTCACTGCTTAAATTTTGCTGCGCTTAACCGCCCGGCCTCCTCGCCGATTCTGACCAGAAACTGGCGCACAGAGCTGGGATCGAACCCGCGCCTCTCTGCTCCAATCTTGGTACTCTGAACTGTAAACACTGGGACTGACTGACCAACTTATTTTTCTCGGAGCCCCCGGGGTTGCAAAGGTTTTCGAGCTCAAGTTTATTGAGGCTGGCTGGAAACCACGGACTTAAACAAGAGATCGCTTATGAGACAGCACGATCGTGGCAGCATAGTGGTCCCTCGACCACGACTGAAACTCAATCGAAAAACAACGACCAAGACCTGCGATGGACGGCAATTAAGTGCGAACACCTATCCTCTTTAGAGATTATAGACAGCGAACTTCTACTAGAATGTGTGGAGGTGCAGCCCAGGTATAGCTGCAAAGTAAAAAGTAAAGTGCGTATACGAAGATAATGTCGCACTATTATATGTGATATTATATATATATATTATATGTGAGGCGGGAATCTAAGCTCGATCCGGACGTGCGTGAACCCTTCTATACATTACGCGCAGCTTCGTACGCGTGACGTAGATGAAACAGGACATAATTATTAATTAATTAATTGCTTCACACTAACCGTGCTGCTGCAAGGCGAGGTGCTGCACGCTGACGTGCTGCAAGGTCAGCGTCGCCGTGCTGTTGAGGTCAGCGTCTGTGATCAGGACCGCGCCGCGTGCTGACAACATCAGCAACCGGTCGCTATAGAAGGCAACCACACGCACATCTGTCGGGAGTGTCAGCCGTGAGTGTCAGACGTGAGTGACAGCCGTGAGTGACAGCCGTGAGTGTCAGCCGTGAGTGACAGCCGTGAGTGTCAGCCGTGAGTGTCAGGCGTGAGTGTCAGGCGTGAGTGCTAGCCGTGAGTGCCAGCCGTGAGTGCCAGCCGTGAGTGTCAGCCGTGAGTGACAGCCGTGAGTGACAGCCCTGAGTGACAGCCGTGAGTGACAGCCGTGAGTGTCAGCCGTGAGTGACAGCCGTGAGTGACAGCCGTGAGTGACAGCCGTGAGTGACAGCCGTGAGTGTCAGCCGT